TACAGGTCTGATTGTTTAATTTTAGTGCAGACCAGATAAATGAATAAGCCTAGGTTTGGGAATTGCCCTTGTACTGCAAAGGCCCTTTCCTATAGGGGATGAGGAATATATAATACTTGCCTTATTTCTCAATCCAACAGACGCCCCTTCTGTGCAACTGATGCTCCAAAGCCTCTTTTCTAAGTCTGTACAGTTGGTGGCTGGGCAGCAGGGACCAGTAGCTTTGAGTTCAGCTATAAGGAAGCCCAGTGAAGTTATTGAGAATGGTAAAAAAAAAAAAAAAATCAGATATGCACCCTGCACTTTTAACTTTGCAGTGAGGGGAGCCTGCTAGGGTTACAGCCTGAGGGAGAGCAGAAGTCTGGGGTTTCAGTGAAGGTGACCTGCATGCCCGCTCTTAGGCATAAGTTCCTGCAGGTGACATGCAGCCCCAGTATTTTCAGCATGCTTTGGGTGGAAGTTCAGTGTTTAGTCCCTCTTCATCCTGAAGCTCAGTATGGAGGCTGCAAACCATAGTACAGTGCCAGTGTGCAATTAGAGAATTCCTTGTTTAAAATGGTCATTTTGGTTCTAGGACCAGTGCTACACAGGGCTCTCTGGTAATGTTAAATCAGTCCAGTGTTTTTTGCAGGAATATTGATTTAAAATGTTACTAAACCCAGAACAATAAAAATCAGTCTGTGCAGTAAAGCATGCTGGTTACTGGTTAACCCTCTGCATTGTGAAAAAATTCTGTTTGATCCTCTTCTGATATGCCCCTTCTACTGTCCTCAATCCATCTGCTGATAGTACAGAGCTCTAGGAGTCACTCTTTACATGCTCAGTTTGTTTTGTTTTTTGGCCCTGTGCTGATCACATGCACCCTCCAAATCACCATGGTTAAGACAGGGTCAGGGGTTATGCAGCCCCATAGGACAGTCAAAGCTGAATGGTTAAAACTTGGGAGTTTTCAGAGCTCAACTGGACACTGATAGAAGTCACAAGACTGCTATATACTGCCAAGTATTTGGCAGTTTATATTAAAAATAATTGCATTTTCATGTGTACTGTGGGAAACTAGATATAGTGAATTCAGGGTTGTGTGTTTAGTAACACTTTAAGCATTTCTGACTTGCTTTGTACAAGTATCCTATTGCTTTCGGTGCTCCACTTGCCTTGCTTTGGGTATTAGCCAGATAGGGATGTCAGAGGAGAGGCAGAGAGCTGCTCAAGGAAACCAGGTTCTGGGGGTAGGGCCCATGTCTCAAAGTGAGACCAATTCCAGTGTAAGAGCATTGGCGTTTTGCAAAGCAAAAAACGGCTGGCTCAATAGACAACCTGCAGTGCTTGGCACACAACGGGTACAGAGTAACGTGATTAGTTTCATGGTCAAAAGTATTGCTGCCTAAAATTTAGGTTGATCTTGACACCCCTCCCAGCTTGTTGCCCTTCTGCGCTCTTTAGTTCCTGCAGCCTCCCACTATGGAAAAGCAACCCAAGCATTTATGTATTGTAGTTTTTGTATTTCAGACACCCAACTCCTGCATCTGAGTACCCAATCAGGGATCCCTTCACATCAGCATTGGTGGATCAGATACAGGTTACTTGGACAAGGGCCAAATAACATGCTTTCTGCTGATACCCTGAACAATGGCGTGTCTCCTGTAGGCCGATACCTATTCTTGTCCCAGCATATTGCCCTACTGCTCCTTTCCTTGCGCTTACTCCTTGGCAGCAGTGTGACCTGTCTAAGTGCATTTCTCTGCCATTGTCTGAAGGTTCTTAAGAGTGCTGAAAGTTTTTTTTTTTTTTTTTTTTTTTTTTTTTTTTTTTTTTTTTTTCAATACCGTGCAATTTTACACCTTCCTGCCCAGGCCAGTTTTCAGGTTTCAGCGCTCTCACACTTTGCATGACAATTGCGCGGTCATACAACACTGTACCCAAACTAAAATTTGATCATTTTCTTCACACAACTAGAGCTTTCTTTTGGTGGTATTTAATCACCGCTGGGGTTTTTATTTTTTGCTAAATTAACAAAAAAAGACCAAAAATTTTGAAAAAAAAACCCCACATTTTTCTTTGTTTCTGTTATAAAAGTTTACAAATAAATAATTGTTGTTCATAAATTTAGGCCGAGATGTATTCTGCTACATGTCTTTGGTGAAAATAACCCAAATTAGGATGTAATTTTTAGTTTGTAGGAAAGTTAGAGTTCACAAACTATGGTATAGATCTGAATATTGATCAATCCTGAAGTACTGACAGCCAATCTCATTTCTTGAGGTCCAAGAATGTCAGAACAGTACAGATATCCCCCAAATGACCCCTTTTTGCAGAGTAGACAGTCCGACGTACTTCATAAGAGGCATGGCGAGTTTTTTGAAGTTGTATTTTTTTGTCATAATTTTTCGGAAAATGAAAAAATTAAAAAAATTATTTTCACTATTTTTTTTTACATACTGTCACCAGTGCAGTACAGCGTCATCATATAAACTGGCATGGCGGTGAACGGCAACACTGACTGGTGACAGTATGAAAAAAAAATATATATATTTTTTTTTTTTTTTTTATTACCTTTTTTTTTTATTAAGATTTTTTTTCATATTTTACTATGACCAAAATAGTACAATGTTACCATAGTAACACTGTACTAGTTTGGGGAAGTGATCAGTATTTTATTTTATTTTTTACACAATTTGCTTATAGCAAAGAATTACTTTGCTATAAGCAAGCATTTACCTGAAATCGATTCATTCAGCTTTTTTTTTGTGCTTAGCTGTGACCATTCACAGCTAGGCACTAGTATACAATGGATGGCATCATAAATGAAGCCATCCATTGTATACAACTGTCATGTGACCTGCTGTGATTGGTCACAGCAGGTCACATGGTACCGGCAACGGGAGCCGGTACTCGGATCTGTCATCGGCCGTGTCCGAGGTGCACGGGCGGTGACAGATTGCACTGCTGCGTCGCTCTGCAACCGCGCAAACCGCATGTGCGGGAGCACGCCAAATGGCGTGCACCCGGAAAGCTGCAGCGCTTTTCAAGACGCCAAACGGCCATTGGCCGGGCGGCTAATGGTTAAAGCATTCAGTTTCCAGGCACCAAAAACTGCACTTTCCCCTGATCCTGTTAATTTTCAACCCCTGTATTTTGAGCCACAAGCTAGGGCTTCTTGATATGCTGTTCACTCGACACTGACACATTGCAGTCTATCCTTTGCCTAGCAGCACTTGATTCTTTGCTGCCAAAATAAGCCCCCATGGGTAAGAAGAGGCTGGCAAATCCAAAAATACTTTCCCTATTCAGTTTTGAATATGCACTGAGAATTGGCCTAATCCTACAAATTACCACCTCTTAAGCTTTGTGCTCTTATCCTACGGAAAAGGAATTTGAGGGATGAAATTGCAGTCTACCACCGTACTTTCTTACACCTCGGTTCTATTGAGGGTGTTCCCTCAAGTATTCTGTTGATAGGTGGCCTGAAGCCCCCTTAAGGCCTCCTCTGCACTTGCGGGTTCAGCCCTTGGCCTTTGCAAGTTGCTTTCTCTAGAATGTGAATGCAAAAGTCTCTAAAATGTCTCCCTCTGTAGGATTTTGTGGTTTAAAAGCTTTGTCTGCTGAAGCAACTTGTAAGACACCTTTTTATATACATGCCTTTTGATGGTGAACACCTATTTGGGGAGTCCCCTGATAAAGCGAGCTACTGTCCTGTGGTGCAAAAGTGCTTATCCAGTTTTCTTTTAAATGCATTAATTCATTGTAGTCACATGACCATTCCTGATGAATTTGAATCCTTTTGCTAGACAGACTTTGGTCTAATATATGAATCATAATGGGGTTTAAAATATATCTGGGGTTTAAACTTGCTAAACCTAATTAAAGTGATATGTCATGGTGACTTCAACCTAGGTTTCCACAGGAGTGGCGCAGGAAACCATACATGATTTGGACTAATTGCACTGCATTCCTGTTCAAATTGCAATTTAAGCCATTCATTTTTGTATGGGCTCAAATTCCACTGTAAAGGTTTTGGTACTTGGCATCAGTGAGTATTTGAGCACACGTATCAGTACTTGCCCCTATAAAAAGGGTATCGTGCAGCCCTGGTCCCCTGCCGGTGCTCATGCTGCCAATAACAAGCTGCTATGTGGGCAATCGTACATGCTCGCTCCTCAGCCCCACTCCATGCTTCTATAAGGCACTTGCTGTAATTAACAGCAGTGAGAGCCAATTGCTGCTGCTGTCTCAGCCAGTGCGTAGAGAGAAACCCAGGAGAGCTGCACACAGAAGGGGTGTGGTGGAGTTTTTTTTTTTTTCCCTTTCATGCATGAAGGTAAACCTCTGCTTTTACAACCATTTTAAGGCTTTAGGGCAAATTAAGGACTTGTATAGGGGGATAAAGGTAATGGGGCTTCTGGGATCTCTAAAATCAGGACTAAGATGTCCAAATAAATATTGAACTTGACAGCTAGTCAGTTTGGCATAAAACCTAAACCATGGCTATTTCACCTTTGTTACTAGGTACTAACAATTAAGTTCTCATTTTCTTCCTTAAGGGTCTGTAGAGTATACCATTATAGCATGTACTCCATACAATAGATGGAAACTATACATGAGAACAGGTCCCCTGATCGGCTCTATGGTCAGCCTGTGGAACCACTGGCTGCACTCTGGTTCCCCAGTGGGATGCAAGAGACCGAGTAGGGGTAGAAGTCCCCTCCTGCCGCTCATAAAAGCAGTCCAGTGGCTAATTGGCCACTAGCTTTGCTTCTACAAGAATGCTAACAGTCAGCTGAGAAAACAATACTGGGATGATGCCTGCAGCTGCAGGCATCCCTGTAGAACTCAATCATTGTGAAGTGATAGTGTTCTAAAATGACAGTGGAAAGCAAGAACTGCTTGCTAGCTCACTTGCACCTGAACTCTGCACTCATACCAGGTGTTTTTATTCAAATGTATTGCATTTAATTAGGGGTTTGGTTTTTTGTTCTAATCCAAAAAAATTTTGTTTTTCAGGCCTCAGGTGTGACAGTATCTGACTTGGTCATTAAAATATTCAATGCTATGAAACTGCACAAAACGTTAGAAGATAAAAGCAAGCGTATTAAGGCAATCCTGTTTTGCATGAGTGATGACAAGAAAACTATCATCCCAGAAGAGGGCAAGGAGATCTTAGTTGGAGATGTCCATCATGCTTGTGACCCTTACAAGCACTTTGTGGAAATGCTACCACCAAATGACTGCCGATATGCTCTCTATGACTGCTGCTATGAAACAAAGGAGAGCAAGAAAGAAGAGCTAATCTTTGTATTCTGGTGAGATCATGTAGTGAAAAGTTTGTTACTAAAACTGGTGTTGCATTTCTTACATGTGTAAACTTGCACTTTGATTTCTACCTAAAACTGAAGCAGCTTACTAAGGCTGGCCATACATTATACAATTATCTGCAGATTTTCTGCCCAATTTCCTTTAGATTTACCTTCAACTATGTAGTGCAAGGGCCTGCCTAATTGGATACAACTGAAAGTGTTGTTTAGGTTTGTCCTCCTATTATATGGTTTTTGGTTAATCTAAACCAAAAATCTGCAGATAATTGTATAATGTATGGCCAGCCTAAGGCTGTAACTGTGCATAGCAACCAATCTGCTTCTAGATTCCCTTTTTTAAAAAAAAAAATGGAAGCCAATTTAATTACTAGTTGCAGCTGTTCTAGATTTGTCTGCTCCAGTTTTAGTGAGTTCTTTCAATACCGAGTTTTTTTTTTTTTTTTTTTTAATATTGGGAGACTGGTTAACTTGGCTTTCCTTTACCAAGTGAAATATTGGAAGGATTTGTCCTAATTGTAACAGATGTTCTGGCTTACTTTATATCTACTGTCTAGCATTGGTTATATGATGGCTTCTGCTGCCTACTTTGCCATGTGACTTTCTGAGAACCATGAATATAATGGTTTTAGATGCAGTATCTTTTTAAATTGTGCAGCATGAAAAGCACAGAACAAAGTACAGACATACAAGTTAAACTGACCTTTCACAATTGTGTAATAGACATTATAGAAAATGAGATGGCCATATATGGTTGGGGCATCTTTTGGAGAGGGGTTAGAACACCTGTTGGGTTTTTATTGCAATAGAGAAAAACAGAGGGCACATCGGTCTAGTGCATCACCTTAAAAGTATGTTTAATGAATGTAAAATATTAGGTGTTGTACTTACAAATGGTCAAACAAAAAAGCACATCACAAAAATACAGCTGTCCAATTCGCACTGTCTGTTTTTTGAGAACTTTGGACATCCAAAAGGCTGACATGTTTCGAGGACTAGCCTCTTCCTCAGAGCCCTCATAGGGTTTTTATTGCAGTCTGTGCTCGCATTAGGGAGATTCACACTTTGTGTCCTGTTTACTGTTCTCACCAAAAGTGAGAACACCACATTTTGGGTTGTCCCCAGAAAAGTAAGAGCGGGAAATTTTTTTTTCCAATGGGGATTTTAGTTCTGGTGACCTGAGGGTCCCCAAGGAATTCCCTTAATTTGCAGAGAATCTCACTTCCTGTGGAACACAGATGGCAAAAAACTGACCGGGTTTATAACCCTCCCTTGCTCTATCCAAAATGAAATTAATTTCCCCGTAGTTCTAAATGAATGCTAGTATTGCTGTTAAGATCGGACATATGAAGAGATGCTGCCAATTGCAAAACCACAGCCAAAGCAGTCATGTGGTCATGGTAATTAAGGTGTGAGTTTATGACAGAATAGCTGTGATTCAGAGGATTGCAGCTATTCTCTGGTCATTCAGTTTGACACTCAGGAGATCAGCGAGGAGCGGTCAGCCCTTCACTGGCAATCTGTGTTCTCCCTCCAGATTTTCCAGCCCAGAGCTGGAGAATCGGAGGAACTGCAAACTAAACAGCAATTTACCACTTCTTAGTAAACTGATTTTACTGTAATCTCGCGAGACTATAGTAAACGCAGCCGGTTTCCAGCGTTTGTAGAACTGATCTACACCGCTTCATAAACGGCATTCACAGGAGAACGGTGTTCTCTGAGAATGCTGGAGAACTGAGCAGCGATCATTTACTGCTGGTTCATAAACTGACACCTAAGTCTTGGGGTTTTTGTGGATGGGGTAATGGTGCCCAATGCTAGCTTTAGCCTAACTCGTGATTGACTTTTCTGGTAGTTGTGGGGTTTTTTTTTTTTTTTTTGCTTTTCTGTAAATTAAGTGGAAGTTGGCTTGCCCACCCTACATTCTGTACCTGCCTCTTTGCAGCTGTTTGCTACTAATCATTGTACTTTCATACACTTTAACCTCCTACATATGACACTTATTCGGTTTCAGAAATGGCAAATGCACAATACAGGTGTTATATTTTATGTGAAAGTGTACCTGAGATTTTCTCAAAGCACTCTGGTAGCAACTTGGGACACCAGACAAGACTCATAACCTCCTAGTGGCTATACTGCAATAGTCCAGTAAAGCCCTGGGTCCTTTTTTACAAAAAAAAAATTATTTGCCTAACTTCAGACTGAAGGGTTGTACAGGATCACCTATCAATTGTTGAAAAGCCCAGTAGCTACATTCCTGGATCACACATTCCCACCTTTCTATTGCATGATCTTGGGTTTAGAGCTTTTCCAATTCAAATCTAGTGCAGGGGGTCTGTACAACAGATGCCACCTGTTTAAGAATTTTCTTAATTGCCAGTATTTTACCATGTCAAGAATGGCAATTCAGAACCTTTAGCATATTTTGGAATTTCCTGTGTACCCTCTTGTATATGGTCTGGCACTTTTTGAGCCCTTAAAGTGTCAGTAAAGGCAAAACATATTTCCCAAATCCTCTTCAGGACAGCTACTTGAGTTGCTCCACCCTCAACAGGAAAACAAGAGATTCAACATTTCCACCCTCCCGTTATCTATAGTTTGTGGGGGGTTTTTAACCATCCAGGAGTACACCATGGCTTATTGTGGTGTGTGGGGTTTTCTTTGACATCTGTATCCCTTTTGTTCCAAAGCCAAAACAGGAAAGTGAAGGATTCCTGGGTTGTCAACATAACTTGTGTCCCCATTACAAAATTCCCCTTAATTCCTGTTCTGATGTCCATTCACAATTTGGAATGGTTTTCACTTTTGATAACCGTAAGCAGAACAAATGGAGAACACAGAAGTGATATGGGGATTACATATCTGGCCAAATCTATAAAATGGTGGTTGGCAAACCGTAGAAAGGTAAAGTGTACAGTGCATTAACACTCCCTTGATTTAAATCTATAGATAGTTACTGGGTATACAAGGTGAGATTTCACCAGATTGTTTGTGTCACATGCACTTGCAAGCATGTATCAAAACCTAAGCTGTGGTGTCCACTACATGGAGAATAGTGGCTTTTAGGCAGAGAGCAAGTATATTTAAGTTGCTCCAGCACTTTCTCAACCCTTACTTGCTGAATCCTTAGAGGGCATTTGACTGTTAATTGATGTGCCAAAGGCGGAAACAAATTTGTTGGGTTTTTGTGGCTTTTTTACCTTCTATACATGAAAGGAGGAAAACTGTGCAGCTAATAATTTTAAAATCAAATGGCAAAAGACCATTTAAATGACATTTGTCAATTCATCAAATGTGCAAAGAATTTTAAGAATATTCTTATCAGAAAATCTACATGTGTATGGCCAGCTGTAGGCTAGGTTCAGACTATTGTGGGTGGGGGAAATCAGCTGTTCACATGCCTGCAGCCAACAGTGCTGCTCTTTAAATAGAGTGCAATTCATTCTTGGTGGCATCCCCAAATGCAGTGCATGGGGAAAATTGCATGGTACAATGCAATTTCCTGGCTGCTGCCTTTTCAAAATACTTGAACACTTTTTCCACTTCAAATGAACAGGCTCCTGTGTCTGCGCAAACACCCCAGTGTGAACCTGGCCTATTGTGTTTTGAGGGCAAGGTGCACCTTTCAAGTGGAACCAAAATATCTAGAATTCCTTTTGGGTTGTGTGGAGTGTTCTTGTTCTTCCCCCCCCCCCCCCCCCCCCCCCCCCCCCTTCACAAACAACTCAAAGGAATTCTAGATATTTTGGCATTTGGTTCCACTTGAAAAATGCACCTTGCCCTCAAACACACTAAATAGGCTAGGTTCACACTGGGGTGTTTGTGCAGACACAGGAGCCCATTCATTGAATTGGAAAAAGTTCAAGTATTTTGAAAAGGCAGCAGCCAGGAAATTGCATTCAGCTATTTATATGGCTGACTACATGCAATGAGGACACTGGCGGATGTAGTGTCAATTGCTCAACTGAAACAAGTTTACATTTAGAAGTAGCGTCTTCTGCCTACAGTTCCGCTTTAAGTTTGTCTTCTGTCTCCCATTTGGGAGAGTTGCCTTCACCCCCACCCCCCACTGGTGTCTATTGAAAGATTCCCTGGGACTGCAAAATTTGCAGTTTAAATGGTGGAAAGGATAGGGTGAGTCTCCCTAATTGTGGACACAGGCAGCAATAAAAAAAAAAAAAACCTGACAAGTATTCTCATCTGTTCTGTTAAAATTGAGTTCTGTCTTTAGTTATGCTTAACTTGGCAGCAGCATTTTGCCACAATATAAATGTTAAACATGGGGAACTCTTTATCATTCTGAATTAGTCATAAGGAGTAACTTGTGCATTTTTCAAGTGACAAGTTTTACAGCCACAAACTATTGGTTATATTTTCCACAGGGCTCCTGAATCTGCTCCATTGAAAAGTAAAATGATATATGCCTGTTCTAAAGATGCAATCAAGAAGAAATTTACAGGTAAGGACCATATATACAGTTATGGTGTCTGTGTGCATAACTAAATTCCTAGTTTCAAGATTATTAATCTGATGTTTTGTTTCTAGGCATCAAACACGAATATCAGGTAAACTGCCTTGCTGAAATAAAGGATCGTAGTTGCCTTGCTGAAAGACTTGGAGGTAGCAACAGCTGTGTAACCTCTGTGGAAGGATTCCCCTTGTGAAGAACCTCATTGCCTCCTCTCCCAGTGTCTGTGCCACTTCATAAAGGGGCTTCCATGTAACCATATTCCCTGACAGTGTCTCCTGTTCCTAGTCCCTGAAAGCCTTCTTGAAGAGGAGAAACGTTCATTCTACAGGCAGCCTTCTCCTAGAAGCCATTCACCTGCATACATGAATCCACAGTATAGTGTTTTTGAAAGTTATTTAATTTTGATTTTACAGAGGTAGCTTTCTTTCTAGCAACATTTTCTGTTTTTTTTTTTTGTTTTTTTTTTCCCCTCCCTGTGCTTGTCGAGTTATTTTGCCAAATGCAGACTGGCGTTTATTCCACTCCCACATTCCTGTATTTACAAGGCAATTTGGCTATGTCAACCTAGATGACCAAAACTTACATTTGGGATCAAACTGCTGCCCCTAGCACTTTGTGGCTGATCATTATTACTTTTATGTAGAGATGGCTTCATTGTGCTGTCATGTAAATTGAGTGCACCTGAATATTCCACTTGTTTTTTTCAACATTCCTTATTCTTCTATCTGGCATCTGCAGGGTAATTAGTATTTTCCGCTGATCAATGTAACTTAAGATTACTTTTTTAATTAACTTGTAAAACATAGCACAGCTCTTTGACCCTGACCCAGCATTCCATATTTCATTTTTAAAATAGATGGCCACATTTAGTATATTTTGCCAATTTCCCTCAATGCTGTGACCCTTATCTGACTTTTTGGGGGGGGGGGGGGGGGGTCTTGTGGATGGGTTGTAGAAATTCAGGTGGCTGGAGCCTTTCTTTTCACCTCTACAGTCCTTCCCATTAAAATCATATGTTCATTGCAGTCTCGACTTCCTTTTTTTGTTTTGCGTTACTAATATGGTCATATTGGCAGATAAGCATTAATAAAATAATGAAAGTATGTGTACTGTGTGGTCACTTAATATTTCTGTTCCTTTTTTTTTTTTTTTTTTTTTTTTTTTTTTTTTTTATGGCTAAGTAATATCTGTTTGGGCTTTGCCTGTGGCGCCAGGACAGAATATCCAGCACTGATGGTTTTATTGCTGTATGTGGTGCTAAGCTCTGCTATAGCAAGAAATTTTGGCATTGGATGAGTAGTGTAAAGAAATTGCTCCAATAAAGACACAGCATTACAAAGTTGAAATCCTCAGCAGGGACATGGCTGTAGAAAAACCAAGATAATTTTGCTTGGTACTGAATCCTGCTTGGGTTTTATTTTTGGCTAAATTTCTCCCAGGTAAAGTGTATGCTTTGCACATGTTTAAGGTGAACCTCCCCATCCTGTGTCATCTGTCTGCCTATTAGATGTGATTTAATGTTTAACAACCAGGAGCTTCAGGCTTGTGTATAGCCAGTATTTACTCCTAAGGCATGACTACAACTTTTTAGATCAAAACAATACTTCAGACAGATATGAGAGATTGATTCAGGTTGATAAATTACTGGGAGGGCTAGGTATGACCTAGCAGTCTTGTCATGTTGAAACCATTGACAATACATGAAAGGTGGAGGTACCACCTTCAATTTAAAGAACTAGGCTACAAGTTGAAGGGAAGGACCTCCAAGGTGATTATCTCTGCAATATTACCTGTGCCATGTGCAACACGGGAAGACTGAGATTAGAGAACTGAATGCATGGCTTAAGACCTGTTGTAAGAGGGAATGATTTGGGTTTCTACAGGTGAAACTCGAAAGGCGCTTCTGATGTTTGTTGTTCAGGAGCGGCTTGACAAGAGGAATACGACATTTGAAGCCCATGTCCAGGAGCTGTCTGTGGTGGCTCTTGATGCACTGACTCCAGCCTCAGTCCACTCCTTGTGAAAGTCCCCAACACTTTTGAATGGCCTTTTCCTGACAATCCTCTCCAGGCTGCAGTCATCCCTGCTGCTTGTGCACCTTTTCTTCCACACTTTTCCCTTCCACATAACTTTCTATTAATGTGCTCTGATACAGCACTTTGGGAAAATCCAACTTCGTTTGCAATTACCTTTTTTTGAGGCTTTCCCTCCTTATGGAGGGTGTCAATTGTTTTCTGCACAACTGTCAGGACAGCAGTCTTTCCCATGATTGTGATTCCTACCGAACCAGACTGAGAGACCATTTAAAGGCTCAGGAACCCTTTGCAGGTGTTATGGCTTATTTAGCTTATTAGAGTGGGACACTTTGGGCCTAGAATATTGCACCTTTTTTCACAATATTCTAATTTTCTGAGATTGTGGATTTGGGGTTTTCATGAGCTGTAAGCCATAATCATCACAATTATGACAAATCGCGGCTTGAACTATCTTGCTTTGCATGTATTGAGTCTCTCATATTTTCACCATTAAGTTGCATTACTGAAATGAACGTTTGCACAATATTCTAATTTTTTGAGTTTCACCTGTAGAGCACTAGGCTGACTTCATTGGGGTACAACCTATGCTAGAGATGGTTTGCACCTAATTGGAAGGGGAGGTCTGCTCTGTGGGGGAAGAGATTTATGGGACAGCTGGTGGAGTATTTAACCACCTGCCCTCTAGAGCAGTGGTTCTCAACCTTTCTAATGCCGCGACCCCTTAATACAGTTCCTCATGTTGTGGTGACCCCCAACCATAAAATTATTTTCATTGCTACTTCATAACTGTAATTTTGCAGTGGGAGGAGTAGTGCCATGTCATTGGTGTCAGTGGAAGGAGTAGTGCCCCATCACTGATGTCAGTGGGATGAATAGTGCCCCATTGTTGGTATCAGTGGGATGAATAGTGCCCCATTGTTGGTATCAGTGGGAGGAATAGTGCCCCATCGTTGGTATCAGTGGGAGGAATAGTGCCCCATCACTGATGTCAGTGGGAGGAATAGTGCCCCATCACTGATGTCAGTGGGATGAATAGTGCCCCATTGTTGGTATCAGTGGGAGGAATAGTGCCCCATCGTTGGTATCAGTGGGAGGAATAGTGCCCCATCACTGATGTCAGTGGGATGAATAGTGCCCCATCGTTGGTGTCAGTGGGATGAATAGTGCCCCATCGTTGGTGTCAGTGGGATGAATAGTGCCCCATCGTTGGTGTCAGTGGGAGGAATAGTGCCCCATCGTTGGTGTCAGTGGGAGGAATAGTGCCCCATCGTTGGTGTCAGTGGGAGGAATAGTGCCCCATCGTTGGTGTCAGTGGGAGGAGTAGTGCCCCATCGTTGGTGTCAGTGGGATGAATAGTGCCCCATCGTTGGTGTCAGTGGGATGAATAGTGCCCCATCGTTGGTGTCAGTGGGAGGAGTAGTGCCCCATCGTTGGTGTCAGTGGGGGGAGTAGTGCCCCATCGTTGGTGTCAGTGGGGGGGAGTAGTGCCCCATCGTTGGTGTCAGTGGGGGGAGTAGTGCCCCATCGTTGGTGTCAGTGGGGGGGAGTAGTGCCCCATCGTTGGTGTCAGTGGGGGGGAGTAGTGCCCCATCGTTGGTGTCAGTGGGGGGAGTAGTGCCCCATCGTTGGTGTCAGTGGGGGGAGTAGTGCCCCATCGTTGGTGTCAGTGGGGGGAGTAGTGCCCCATCGTTGGTGTCAGTGGGGGGAGTAGTGCCCCATCGTTGGTGTCAGTGGGGGGGAGTAGTGCCCCATCGTTGGTGTCAGTGGGGGGGAGTAGTGCCCCATCGTTGGTGTCAGTGGGGGGGAGTAGTGCCCCATCGTTGGTGTCAGTGGGGGGGAGTAGTGCCCCATCGTTGGTGTCAGTGGGGGGAGTAGTGCCCCATCGTTGGTGTCAGTGGGGGGAGTAGTGCCCCATCGTTGGTGTCAGTGGGGGGAGTAGTGCCCCATCGTTGGGGTCAGTGGGGGAGTAGTGCCCCATCGTTGGGGTCAGTGGGGGGGGGGGGAGAAATAGTGCCCCATCGTTGGGGTCAGTGGGGGGGGGGGGGGGAAATAGTGCCCCATCGTTGGGGTCAGTGGGGGGGGGGGGAAATAGTGCCCCATCGTTGGGGTCAGTGGGGGGGGGGGAAATAGTGCCCCATCGTTGGTGTCAGTGGGGGGGGGGGGGAAATAGTGCCCCATCGTTGGTGTCAGTGGGGGGGGGGGGAAATAGTGCCCCATCGTTGGTGTGTCAGTGGGGGGAGGAATAGTGCCCCATCGTTGGTGTCAGTGGGGGGAGGAATAGTGCCCCATCGTTGGGGTCAGTGGGGGGGGGGGAAATAGTGCCCCATCGTTGGGGTCAGTGGGGGGAGGAATAGTGCCCCATCGTTGGTGTCAGTGGGGGGAGGAATAGTGCCCCATCGTTGGTGTCAGTGGGGGGAGGAATAGTGCCCCATCGTTGGTGTCAGTGGGGGGGGGGGAGGAATAGTGCCCCATCGTTGGTATTAGTGACACAAATGATGGGGCACTATTCCTCCCACTGACACCAATGATACTTACTTTGCTGACCCCTGCTCCAGCCTGGCTCGCTCTCTCACTTACCTGTCAGCTGTCTTCCTTCTCTGGCCGCTCTCCTCTCACTCGCTCCGGCAGCTCCCTCGGTCTTCTTTGATGTATGCGCGCTGCCGCCGCTCGGCTCCTCCTCTCCAAGCTCCACCTCCTCGCCGGTGATTGGCTGCCTGTGTGCCTCTCCTGAGCTACAGTTCCAGTGGCCAATCAGCGGCAAGGAGGCAGAGCTGCTGAGCAATCCCGGAGGTGTGGCCAGGTGGACAGCAGCGTATCATCCCGCCCACACATCGCCGGAGACTGCAGCGGTGTCTCGGTTCCTAAGACCATCGGAAATATGTGTTTTCCGATGGTCTTAGGCGACCCCTGGGAAATGGTCGTTCGACCCCCAGGTTGAGAACCGCTGCTCTAGAGGATTTACACTCCTTTCTGACCAGGCTTTTTTTTTTTTTTTTTTTTTTTTTTTTTGCTTTGAATAAATTTATATAAATAATGCTATAAATCAAAAAGTGACAGTTTTGAAGATGGGGGGAAATATTTTGCCTTTTAGCTATAAGGCCCTATGTACATGGGACACTTCGGAACAATGGAAATTGACTGCTGGAAAATGTCAGTT